TTACAGTCTTTATTTTACAGTTAAAATATATGTTTATCAAATAAAGTCTAATGTTACAACTAATCAGGGATCTCTTTAAATAAATAGTATTCAAATTGTAAATTGCATTGTGATCCACTTTTGTCTTGATCAGACTGGCCATTAGATTGTCAATCCTGTCAGAATTAAACACTGTTTCTCCAAACATAGGACCTTCAAAGAGCCATCTACTTCAGGTAAGATAATTATTCATATTCTCCATATGTTCTCTAAAGATCTGAGCTATAGTGTTTGATGTTTTGCTGTCATACACTAAAATGCTTGTTTTCCTCCACATCTGGGTGTCATGTTGGTACATCAAATTAAAAGTGTTTGACCATGTAAATGGGTGATAAATAAGCTCATCAGTATCAGAACCACATCATTATGAAAGCACAAGCAGATCTGACATTTGGTGTTTTATATTATTAATGACTTGCAGGTGTTGGGAGGTTGGCACACAGTAAACGAGCAAAGATTTTAAAAGATTTGGTCGGGTTAGTGCACTTTGTGTAAATGTCAAGTACATTTTTTTACTTAAATGTTTACTTTTAGCCAAGAAAAAAAAAAGGAATTTGAAAGTCCCCAGTTGTTGTATTAATGTTACACAAGAAGTTGGTTCAGTTCTGACAGAAGTTTGTGGTCTCTCGTTGCCTTTAAGGTTCTGATGGTTCGACATTTTGGCGAATGCTCTTTCATCTGWCAGCAATCATCTTTTCAACAAACAAACACGCAGTGACAGACCTTTGTCTTAATGTTGTGCTTGTTTTGGTTTGGGCTTTTGAGATCGTTTTAATACGATCCTCGGTTTCCATTCACAATGACATCCCATAAACAAACTTAAAAAAAACTTAAAACAGGGAAAAAGAGAGGATGGAGACGGAAGAATAGAGCGGAATAAGTCCATTTAAGCAGTTTTGTTTCGAGTCACCAAGAGTTTTAAAAGTAAACAATGTTAAGCTGACAAGGGACTACTTGCACATGTTGCCCTTAATGTTATTATTTCTATATGCTAATAAAAGTTCTTGTTTGTGACGTGAAAACTCATACTTAATTTAAAAAATGTATATGTTTATTAGGTTTTTCACTTAAATATGGCATCTTTTTTTTACTGACACAATGCATTCTGAGGATGACAATTATGGGTTGTAGTTTAGAGCAGTGGTTCCCAAACTTTTTATCTTCTGACCCACAAAGTATCCATGGCAAAAACTTGTGACCCCAAATATTACTGGTCTGAGTACACAAACTTTGTTAATAACCATAAAAACACAGGCTTTTTGACAATCTAAACAGCTAGTAGACAAATATAGTTATTTATACTTATTTTGTGTTTTTGTAATAGTTATTGGGAAAAGATTACATCAGCAATTATTTTTATTACCCTTTAAATTGATTTCTGGAGATTATCCAAGGTGCTTCATGACCCATAATTGGTCCCAAGCCCAACTTTGGGAACCAAAGTGCAATGGTTCCCAAACTTTTCAGCTTTTGACCCACAAAATAACAGTAGCAGAGACCTGTGCCCCCAGCTGTTTTTGGATGATAAACATTTTTATCAGGTCAACTAAACATGGGCATAGTAACAATATTTTTATACTACATTTATCCATTTTAAATATACTAACCTCACTCCTTTGTAACAACTAAGGCAAAAAATGTAATTAATTCAGAAAATCTTTTCAGGACCGCACCTTGATGTTTCGGGACCCCACTTTGGGTCCCGACCCCAACTTTGGGAAACACTGGTTTAGACTAAAACACAGTTTGTTCTACACAATGTATGGATTGAAATGATCCAAAGTTATGTTATAGCTTGGGAGATAATGCTATATTTATTAGCCATATATTGCCATATATATTAGCTATATTAGCTCAGGTGTTAACATGAAAGATAAAAGGCTAAAGCTGAGGTTCTCCTTCCATGAAGCAGCTCTTTTGTCCTCCATCATAATTTTCAGTGACAGACTGGTTCATTTCTACATTCTCCTCTCTGTCAATGAGATCAGGTTTCATTTAAAAGGGCTGAACATCAGACATTGTTTAAAATTAATGATCAAACTGGATAGAGCTTGGACCGGAGCACCGGTAAGCAGCATCATTCACCCAGAATGCTTTGTGGCATAAATCACATGCGACAATTTATGTTTTTACTTCATAAAAACTAATCAGCCTCCAACATTTTTACAGTCTTGTTGAAGCAAATGTAACTCAAATAATGTGAAATGTTACAACTAGTCAGAGATCACTTTAAGGAGCAAAAGCGTGGAGTAAAACTTCACGGAGCTTTTTGACAAACCTGGATCAAACTCATCATGACACAGCTGGTATCAGCTATAAGAACAGTATTAGATTCATCTCAAAACCTCTTCAACTTTCTGGTGATGCTTGCTGTGTTTACAGTGGAACGACTGCGATCCAACTCTTCACTAAGGGAGGTTGTGGTTTCTTCTGTAATTATCAGTTTCACAGCAACAGTCCGTTAATGCACCATCTTATCTTCCCACAACACTCCTTTCCCTCTAAAGACAGACTATTTTTAGTTACTGTTTCCAAACAACACTGAAACTCTCCTTAAGAAGTGATCGAGAGTGAGGAGGAGTGGGAGGGTGTGTCAGACGAGCCAGATCTAAAGCTGGAGATGCAGGAGGTGGAAATGACACAATAGGATGTAAATTACACACAGCTCTGTTGAAAGGGGCTAAATTAAACAAACCGACTTCTGATACTAAAGTAGATCTTGTTCGTGTCATTGAGGTAAACTAGTTAATTTAGCAAAAAATAAATAAAAAAATAAAAAAATGATATTTTGCAACAAATGGCAAATTCAGTTCTACACGAAGTTACACTCAAAGAATAACCAAGCCATATGACTTCATTCAATATCTATTTGTAAAAAATAAATTTAATGAGTTTATTAAACATAAAAGCTTCTTAATGGAATATAAATCAACACTTACAAAAGAAAAACATGTATAACTGAATGAAAAACACGTATGACCCCAATTCTGAAAAGGTTAGGATGCCACTCAATGTATAAGTATAAAAAGAATGATTTGCAGATGAACCTCTGTTTTATTCACAGTAGAATGTGGCCAAGATGTCAAACGTTGAAACTGAGAAACTGTAAAATGTTTAGTAAAATCTAAGACTTCAAATATCCCATAATTATATTATCAAAGGACCAGACTGAAAGTCAATATTTTTGCCCATGAAAGCTCTATCATGCAAAGGAAAAAGCACACGTGAACACAAAGAAACATCTTCATTGGGTCAAAGCTGTTTTAAAACGGAATAAGGCYAATTGGAAAACTATCTTGTGGTCAGATGAATACTAATTTGTTACTATTACTTGTTGATGTTTTGCTAATATAAATGTCAGAAATACCTTATATTTTAATAAAAATGTACAATTTAATACTTTTAACATTTGATATATTTACTCTGTTCCACTATGAATAAAATAATAAGTTAATAAAATCTGCAATTCATTGTACAGTGAACCCTGCGAAGTCGCATTTCAAAATTTGCAGACTCGGTCTTTTGCAGATTGTTGATGTAATCCCACAATTTATTGTAAACCAGAAATACAGTTTCAGTGAGTTGGTAAATTTTGGTCAGTAAACCTACATTTTATTGTATTTTCATTCAATTAAAATAAATTTATACAGTATATTATGTACTTGGAGTATATTTATTGTTTAAGCTCTAAAGACCTGCATTTATAAGCCACTTTTGGATCCCTACCCTACCCTATCCCTTTGAATCCCTCATGATTCACGGGTGTTCTAAGAATGCAACCCCATGAATTTTGAGGGTTTACTGTATACTGTTTTTATTTTCTTCTTTTTATTTTATTTTATTTATTTTTTCTTTTTCGTTTTTTAACATTTTGCACAACCCAACATTTTGACATTTACAATATTTTTGCAAGTGACATTTATCACTCAGTAAAAAGGTAATTCTGTAATTTCCCTTTTGGATCAATAAAGTATTTTTGATTTGATTTGATTTGACTTGAATTGAATTTAGAACTGACTCAATAATTTGTTGATTTTTAGATTAACTCGACTGGTTAAACTCAATTGAAATTACTATTTTAAAGAACAAAAATCTCCTGCCAGGTCTTATCTTGTCATTCAACATGACTTACATAACAACACAAACTTCTGAAGTGAATTAAAATGAATTCGACAATGT